AGGGGATATCGTTTTGCGATCACTTTTGCGATTGCAAAAACATCGACATAAAGTGATTTCATCGTCAAACGGAGCGCTCGTAATGCGAGGCACCACTGTATTTTTCTACTCATATTTACATGCTTTCGAACTGCTAGGTTGGCAGGAGCTGGGACAAGCAACGGGAGCTCACTTTGTCACATGGATTCGATCTTATGACTGCTGGTCTTCTGACCTTGCAGCACAGAGGCTTCTGCGGTTTACCCCGCAGCGCCACCACATCCCTGCCATAGAGGCCATATAATGTCACAATCTGATGACTTCTGCTAAGGGAATGTCTCCTATCTAGAGATGAGCACAAACCTTGGTTCGCAGCTTCATGCCAGTTCGTATATATGTGTTCCTTTCCCCCACCTTCTTGGCCAATTACCTACTCACCAGTCAGAGTGCACTCCTCTTCTCCTCTCTGGCTGTTCGATCAGTACTCAGGAGGAGCATGGGGTTGCTTGTGCTGCCTCCTTGTCTGAGTGGGCAATCAGCCAAGGAGGTGGGGCATAGAAGTCTGTACTCCTACCAGAGACCACACAAATAGCTGAAGAGGAGGAGAGGAGTGTGTGCCAGCTTTTTTTTGGGGGGGGGGGAGTTCCAGGCAGGTAGGCAGAAGGGAACCATGGCATATGAACTAACATGAACTCCTGAACTGTGGTTCACGTCCATCTCTACTTCTATCCCTGACAGTCATTTCAAACCCTGCAGGACCTAAATCTGCCTCTGGACATAGGCTACATTTTGGCAATCCCTTAGCTCTCTTTCAGAACTCTAGAAGCTCTCCACCCAGTCAGAAGAAAACCCTGCATTAGCAACACAGATAAAAGTACTATCATTCTGTAGCACCTTCAAAACCAATCCCAGAAACTTTTCTGGCATACAGTGTACTATGCTTTCACAGACAGCTATAATAAGTGTTTATTAAAAGCCATTGTGACAAACCCAGACCTACTGGGATCTGCCACATAGTTACACTAAGCTGCCACCAACCATTCCCTTTAAGAAGTCACACAGACCAGGGATGGATTTTTAAACAATAAAAGAATAAGGTTTATTTTAAATACAAACAGGGTAAATAAAACAATCAGGTGAATAAATAAAGTAACGTGGGCTTATTCTCACTCATACAAGCATACAGTTTGGTTCACCCAGAACCCTTAACTTAAAGCACAGACCCTGAACCTATCAGGAGCATGGGGTTGCTTGTGCTGCCTCCTTGTCTGAGTGGGCAATCAGCCAAGGAGGTGGGGCATAGAAGTCTGTACTCCTACCAGAGACCACACAAATAGCTGAAGAGGAGGAGAGGAGTGTGTGCCAGCTTTTTTTTGGGGGGGGGGGAGTTCCAGGCAGGTAGGCAGAAGGGAACCATGGCATATGAACTAACATGAACTCCTGAACTGTGGTTCACGTCCATCTCTACTTCTATCCCTGACAGTCATTTCAAACCCTGCAGGACCTAAATCTGCCTCTGGACATAGGCTACATTTTGGCAATCCCTTAGATCTCTTTCAGAACTCTAGAAGCTCTCCACCCAGTCAGAAGAAAACCCTGCATTAGCAACACAGATAAAAGTACTATCATTCTGTAGCACCTTCAAAACCAATCCCAGAAACTTTTCTGGCATACAGTGTACCATGCTTTCACAGACAGCTATAATAAGTGTTTATTAAAAGCCATGATTCCATTTTATTTTCAAAATGTGACTGACTCATAGTATAAATGAGGAACAGATGTTTAAAGCAGGGTTAGGCCTATCCACTAGACTAGACCACAGTGCCTCCTTGAAACTTTCAGGTGTTGGAAACTAATGTGTAGGAGGTACCCATAGACAGTTTTCATAAATATAACAAGTCCTATTCCCAATCATATTAGTCCAAGTAGATGAAAAACATTATTCTGCAGAGAAAACTCATTAGTGCTATCAAACTAATGTTTACGGTAACAGAATTGCATTACAGCTGAATCAGATTTACATTTCACTGTACAAACACAATATGCAACACAATTATTTCTGTTCCTAAAACTGTAAAGGGACATATATCTTAACTAGTGGGATATTCAGTAGTACAACTGAGTATTTCTTAGTCTAAGAACCATATTGCCCACTGAATAAGTACCTTCTTTCTCACATTCATAAAGACGTGGACACTTCTTTCTTCTTGATCAGATTTAATTAATCATGAGAGAAGTACACTGGCACTTCAAGGCTCAGTTAAGATTCTGTTTCTTACCCAGAAATACCTTCTCAGATATTGAATGTGTCTCTCCATGTACAAACAACTCACCCTCTAAGCTCATCTTTAGCAGCTCTTCGATGAACCAGGCCAGGCATGACACTAAGCATGTGTGTCTGGTTTGTTGCTGTTTTGTTTTCAATAGTACAATCACAACTCATCAGCCTCAGGGGACTGGGACAACAGCAGGAAGGGTGGTGATTATTCTTCACTAATGGTCCCACTGAAAGCCCCTTCTCTATCCATCACAATTTCCCAGTCAGAAACTTTCTCTCAAAATTCACTATGCGAAGCGCACATACCGTTTTAGTGTTTTTAAATGAGCACTCACGAACTGGTCTAAATCTCTAAAACACTACATTAAATCTACAGCATTCCATCCACAAATCTAGAAATAATTCATTATTCCAAAAATTAATCCAGGACTTTTTTAAAGAAGTCACTGATTTGTAAAGAAACTCTGTATCTGTTATCAGAGCTTAGAATTCTCATCTACCTTGTCTCATCCCAGCCCCAGGAACTTCATATGGAAACTGCATATATGCAAGAGAGGAAAAGCAGACAGGGGCAGGGGGGGGAGGCATCTGTGCTACCTTCAGCATGATAATAAGGGCAAATGGTCAGTGAGTTTTTTCTCCTTATTTTGTCTCTCCCGATTGAGATGTGAGGTAATTTATTAGCAGGCTTACTTACTTTGCCACATATTTTTTAAAAACATCTAACTGGGATTGTCCCTCACCAAAAGCCAGAGAGAGAAGAAAAGGTGGAATCATCCCTCACACAAAAAGCCAGGTCCTATACATGTATACACAGAGGTAAACATATATAGAACTGTGGGGTTTACTTCTAAATATGTTTCCATAGCAGTCTTCAGCATGATTGCACAAAATGTGGCCTGCAGACCACAACAGCCTTCCCAACACTCCACAAAATTATTAAGGTTTTTTTAATGGTTCAGAATTTTCCTTTGTGTTTTCTGGGGAGTGAAGAGGAAATACTGCCATGTTCTGAGTAATCCCCAGCACTCTGGGTCCTCCTATCTCCAAATATTTTCTCAAATGTTCATATTTTTTTTCTGTCACTAGAAGGTACAAGGGGTCTTTTAAAGTTAAAACCATTTTTCAGTAAGTAAAAAAATAACGGGGGGAGGGGGCTGTGAGAACAGCCATCCAAGGTCCACTAACAGTTTTTTTTGGGGGGGAGAAGACTTCTAGAGGGTGCCCATCTCTCACCTAAGGGAATCTCCAGATAAAGCCATTTCGCAAGAGTCAAGCATGTTAAACCAGAATGCCTGATATCTCTTCGCACTTTCAGTATTTCTATTCCATCAAAAGAGAAGTTGTTTTCTGGATGCAACACAATAATAATTGTTTTCTAGCCACAAACACAATAACAGATATTCCAGTTCTGTATATGTAAGATTTCCCAGTAGTACTGCCATCTGGAAGTTGTTAGTTTCTTGTGTTTTTTTTAAAAACTGAACTTTTAAGTACTTGCTGCCATCAGCATGTAAGACTACCAAGCAATGGTGTACTGCAGAAAGGTTAAGGGAAACAAAACATAACTTTCTTAACCTTCTGAACCAAGTGTCTTTTGTTTTGATTGAACATATTGATGGACCTGTCAGATCTCAAGTGAGCAAAAACAGTTTTCTAGCTAATACATACATATTAAACATGACATTTCATTATTACTTAAATTGCCCAATATTTACAAAGAATAGAAAATGTTTTTTTGAGAACATATATCTCAAAGCAAGTTTCAGCATTCTCCTTTTTAAAGTACATTTTTGTGTGGCGTGTTTCTCGATGGCAAATTTGTTACAACCCTGAGATGAATCTTTGAAGTGTCCTCTGGACAGATACAGGTCAAGAAAGGTATAAATCTTCATTGTTTTTGATGTATCCCTGCAAGCAGGAATATACATTTATAACCTATTCTTATAACTTTTGTTGCTCAGCAGTATCCTTCCGCCATTAACAGAGGGAAACAAAAGGACAACCTATCAAGGTAGATCAGAGTGGGCAACACAGATCCATCACTGGACCTCAGAGGACTGCACGCACTCCCAAAAACTATTATGCACAGAAGTATTTTTTATTCCATCCCTCTGAAAAATCTAAGAGGATGTGAGTTGGGCCCATTCTTGATCCAGCCATTAAAATCAATGGAACTGAAATACATTCAACTTTCGTTGGATATTGCCCTCATTTTCTACATCAACTCCTGTGCGGCAAACAGCAAGAAAGGCTGTTACCTTTATGCTTTGCTCTTGGCTTCCTAAAAACATATGACTGAGATTTTTCTGAAAACAAGATGCTGAATAACATGGTCCACTGTTCTGATCTATCAAAACCATTCTTATGCTGTAAATGGGAACAAACTGAGGAAATAATATTTTAAAGTAAAGACTTCTTGTAAAAGTGAATAGGTTGTACCATGATTGAATGGAAGCAAGCGCACATGGAGGAACAATAATAAAGGCCGCATTCACCAAATATTTATGCCTTTGTTTTTATTTTGTGTTTGTAAAATCATCTATGAGCATGGTCTTAAATCTGATTGCTTACATTTTTCAAATTTCACTAACAGATCTCTCTCAGGTAAAGTGACCATATCATTTATTGTTCTTAATTGTATGTGTTGGGGAATCTTTCACGTCTACAGTACAGAAAGGGAGACTACTCCTCTAAATTGAGGCACCCCTGAAAATGTCATCTTCTAAAACGGTCACCATACCTGTTGAAGTTAATATCTGGATAGCTTGAATACTCTGATTTCATCTTAGCATTTCGCCGGGGAAATGTGCAGAAGAAGGCATTTGCTAGCAAACTAGCAGTCTGCTCCTGTGACATTGTGATGGAATGGTTCATTTTTTGTTTCAGTAGAGGTATTGGCTAACAAAAGGGCAGAAAAATGAACATAATCAGGTTAGCAATTCAAAAAACAAACACACCACCCATCAACAAGAACACAGGAGAACAAATTGCATTTACTAATTTGGAGTACAAGTAATTTACGGAAAATGGTGAGTCCTTAAATCAGCAGCACCATTAAAGTCAAGAGCTGTTTATCCAAGATGATTGGAACAAGACAAATTGTAGATTTTTAATCAATTGGAAAGAAGAAATGACAAACAAAGCATCACTAGCCTACAGAAAATAAAGTGTTCTGTAGGAGGAACAGATGAAATATGAGCATCAGTAAAAGAAAAGTAAAACATCAAGAGATTGCCAACAGCTGTATTTTGCAGTCTCACTGTCAAATGGGTTAAAGAAAATGGGCAATTACAGCAATCACATCTCAACAGCTGCAAAACAAGATGGCATGATGATACACAAAACAAGCCAACTATGAAAGGGGAACTGAAGTATGTATACCTTCCTTTGATTTCCTTGTACAAATGAGAGCAAAGATTGTTCAAGCTTCATGGAAAACTTTACGAAGCTTCATTCAAATGGCATTAATCCTATATGGTTATTTTGCAAACTAGCTTGTTATGTCCCAGATTAATTAATGGCCCTTATCTACATAAAATAGGCACAGTATATAAGACAACTAGCAGTTTTAAATGATAATGTCTTAACAGGTGGAAAAAATATTGAAGGGTTTCTGCAGATTTGACAAATATATTCTTAGTTAAGTATGAGCTTTTCTAATCTGTGAAAAATATGCAGCTTACACTCTGAACATGACACAAACACAACACTCTGCCTCCACAAACTGGCACTGGGGATAATTTTGAATGAATACTACGCTATTTCAAGAAAACAGTTTATGCTTGATTTAGCTCACACTATCATACAAGTTGTTCAGCCAATGTGGATACATCCAAATAAAGGGGGTAAGGGACACATAAGCCAAAATCCTACTCATCATGTCCACTTCCAATATCAGCAACAAAGTACCACAAGTTGAGAAGTCAATATACGCATTTGCCATTATACACAGGATTGCAGAACGTAGTATGTCTGCACAAGCTGCTTACATTCAGCTTACAGAAAGATGAAGTGAATATTAGATCTAATATTACAAGCTATTCAACCAACTGGAAGGCAAATTCAGAAATTCAAAGGTCTCAAAGACCAGAAGGAGAGACTGAAAACTAAGAAGTATTAAGTCCCTTATAGATGAATGATATACCTCACCTCCTCTACTAAAAAGTGAGGACAAGAAGGAAAGCACACCACTGCAACCGCCAAAAGATTTAAAACTGAATTATAAGTGGGACTTACAATTGAGCCCTCACATGTTGGTTTTGTCTGACTAACCAAAACTTGCTCAGGTTGGTTTTGTCTGGCTAACCAAACTTTGCTTGGGATGTTTGCTCAAAGTAAACCTAAGTGGCATCTAACTGGTTCATTACCGCCCATGTCTATGGCCCTATTCCTGCTAAAATCTTGATAGGAGTACTTATTGTATATCTTTGCAGTTGTGACCTTTAAAGAAAGAATTATATCTAATAGGGTTAAAAAGGAGGAATTTTAGGAACTGTATATAATTGCAATCAGATATTGTTAACAACATAAAAAAAATCTTCACAACTCTCACATTTTGGTACACAGACTGGGCATTATTACAAAGTGGATGAGATGCCCTGAAGGGCTCAGGTGAGCTCTTAATGGGCTGGAGGGTGTGTATGACAAACATAACAGCAGTCTTCAGTTGTTGTTGTTTAAATTATCCTGCATGCAAGCTTGTCCTACCAGCTACAACAAACCAGACAGTAACAACTGGAGAAAGAATTTCAGTGAAGAACTATGAAAGAGGAAGGCTCCAGAGTATTGTTGCTACAGAAACTGATGAAAAGGAACTGAGGGAAAGTGGAGGGAAAGGGACTGGACATGCACAGGGGAGGGGGCAGATCTATCCCCAAAATATTAGGGCACAACCAGGAAAATTTAGAAATATTCTCAGCAAGCACAGTGAATCCCATTCATGTGAACACACAGAGGCAATGAAGAACAGCAAACACCCATACCAACGTCTTAATTTGTAATAATTCACTGCCAATATTTGCATCCACATTTCTACAGTTTTCCTTTAAAACAAATCCTTACATAACTTCCCACATATATTGTTTTAAAGTTGAAATGGCGTGTGTTTTTGTTGTTGTTGCTTTTGTTTGTTTTGTTTTGCCACTGCTACAATTTAGCAGCATGGTAGGAACTGCAAAAATTGATATAGCGCACATGAAGCAATGAGCTCAACTTTGTTGACACCTGGGATAAAAGGCTCTGTCACGTTTGCAAAAATTACTTCCAATCAATGCACTCTGTCAATTATGTTCACTCTTAATATGAATCAGACTCTCTGCAGTTTAGATTCTACACAAATTATGAGTACAGTGACAAACTTTCAATGACTGAGCTGATTTATGAGTCCATATAAACAGCATCCATAGGATGACAAAGAAGAGAGAATCTTAGAATGTGGCCACTGTAAATAAGCCATAACCCTGAATCAGGAGGGTGACATTTTGCTTCTGACATCATGCCGTGGTAAGAGTTCACCAGCAATAAGCCCGAATTCACCTTATTGTTCTTCTCCCATGAATCAATCTTGAAAAGACCTGCTTGAAAAAACCATCATTTCCCATGACAAATAAATTAGATATCTTTGATTAAAGCATTGCCAAACCAGGAGAGCAAATTAAAGTTTGATTCTGGTTTGAAAGCCAGAATTGTTTCCATTGCTTAAACTTCTTTTTACTGATTTAGGCCACTGTGTAAAAAAGAAATTTAACACACCAGCAGGTCTCCTCAAGCTGGCACATGAGAGTGCCCTGACAGGAACAAAACATTGCTTGCTCATAAAACACTGTTACAACTCAACCAGGTCACTGCCACATATTAACTTAGAATTTTTTTTCTGCAAAAGTCCTGAACAATTTATGAGTTTGAGCTATTGAACTATGGCTTTATAATGCTAATTGATTCTGTCACAAATTAAGTGAAAAAGTTTTAAGTAACCTTGCCTCAAATCCTTCTTCATAAGATAACTATCTTTCCAATTATGCATTCAGATTTAAACTAGTACCACTGAGGTATTTTAAGCTCAGCTCTGCCAAAAGCCAACAGTGGTTCAAAGGCAAGTATTTTGCTTTTTTGTACCATTCTCAAGTCACTACAGGAGGACCCATCACAACAAATTTATGTTAGATACGCACCGTTCACCTCAAATTCAGGTAAAATGTTTTTGCATACATTTAAAAATTATCTCAGATGTGAAAAAGGTCTTGTAAAAGGTTAAATACAAAGTGACTTGGTTTCTTTTTAAAAATTACGTTCAGCATAAAGTTATGCATCACTTTCCAAAAAACAGCCAGCCAAAACTAAAAAAAATCTGTTATTATGTTGAGCAAACCTACCAGTTTCAATGGGAATAATAGTTTAATGTAACCAAAAAAACTTTAAATATTAAGACTTTTTCATGAAAAAAGCACATGGTGGGTAAATACCACCATCACAATACATCCGGATTCTATTCATAAAGTGATAAATTAAGCATTTTCCCTTAAAGGAGAAAAGTCATAACAAGAATTAACCTTCAAGTCAGAAGTGACTTCACAATTCTCTTTTCACTCCAGACCAGGAAAAAAGAAACCTGCTGAAAATGTTAAATGGCTGTTGTGACACATCTATCAACATTTTTATATATAGTTGAAATCAAGTTTCAAAATCGGACAGGAGTTTTTAATCTCTTTTTATATCATTATAGATCTGTGTTGTACTCACTATTCACTAGGACTGAGCTCACCAAGGCCAGAACCATGTAACACACAGCCTTGGCACGCCAACCTCAATAATTCATTTCAGTATACAAATTAATCTGATACAGAAAATGCAGTTAAGATGCATGCCTAACCTGGGTGCAGATGCTAGGCAGAGAGAGTGCAAGCTTCACCATATCAGGCAAAATGGATTGAAAGAGATGCTGTGCTTCTGCATCTTCAAGCACCTAGAGAGCAAACATAATAATGCATTTGAACATAGTGTTAGCAATACAGATAGCCAAATCCTGTACTTTGTGGAACAGCTGGATTTTCCAGAACAACATTATTTCCTGGGACAAATATAATAAATGGCAGAGGTTAACAGAACTCTGAAATTTCAGCTCCTATTCTTAGGTATCTTCCGCACTGACAGTCAGATCTTAAAGATTACATTGTGAAAAACTCTCTTGACAAAAAAAATCTATGGACTAAAATGCTTCAGGGGATTCCTGAATTCTGGGGACCTGTAGGAAGTTTTTAGTGCCCCAAAAATGGCTGCAGCATGGCCATGGCTGATGACATCATCCTTGTTGCACAGCACAGCTCCAGCTACAGGACTTCAGTCATTGCTTGCCTTCCACAGATACAGCTAAGCAACAGAATTTTAGCCAGTATTTACTCCATCCCACTCTGTTCCCTAAACACAGAGCTGTGCAAAAACTGAAAAAAGGGTGGATGAAAACACCCTTTCCTCCTTATGCATGATGGGTAAAGAGTCACATTTATAACTTTACCTGCAATGCTCATCCCATTTTCGTCTAACCAGTAGCTGCTCCACCGAATGACCACCACCTCCAAATCCACTAAGATTGGGATTATTATTTAATATGGAATAGAGACCCCCTTCTACTGGAATATCCTTTTCATCACAAGCGAGTGTTTCTTTTCCACTACTGCTTAAACACTGCCATAGAAGTATGAATTAACACTGCCATTTTAAAAAGAATAAGAATGCTTTTGGCGACAGAATTTTGCCTGTGTCACAGAGTTAGCCAGTCCTATGTGTGATATAACAGAAATGTTTAGCAAAAAAAGTTTATAAACACAATTTATAAAGTAAAAAAAAGTTTATTTAAAATGTAGGGCAAAGGAATAAGAAAGTTCAATATACAAGCTGTTAAGTTTTTAATCACAAAGCTAAAATCTTTTCCTTTATTTCTCTTTTTTGTAACTTATACAGAGTTCTTTGTAAATGACTATACAGAGGGATATCTGCTTTTACACAAGTTTCATGAAAACACACTGTATTTTCCACAGCTTCTTTCAAAAAACAGGCACCCCTCTTCACAGCTCTAACTTCTGGACTCAGAGTTCACTCTAAACCAGCACAAAACTGACTACCTCTTATGTAACCAACCTAAATGCTCTCTCTCACAAACACACATTTTATATCAGCAGTCCCCAACCTTTTTCAGTCCGCGGACTGGCTGGGGAAGGCGGGGCACCCCTGCGCTTGTGCGCATGTGTGAAAGAGTGCACTCATGCACATGCCCTGTGCAAATGCATGAATGGCAGCACGGGGCTTGTGCGTACACATGCGCACTTGTGTGCATGCGTGAATAGCAGTGCCACCGTTCGTGCATGTGTGTGTGTGCCTGCACAAGCACCATGTCGCCATTCGTGCATGCGCCTGAGCGAGTGCGCAGGCGCAAATAGCCTTTGCAGGGGTGAGTGCATGTGGAGGTTGGGCAGGAGGTCTTTGCGGCCCGGTCGGGCTCAGGCCAGGGACCAGCGCTGGGCTGCGGACCAGGGGTTGACGACCTCTGTTTTATATAACAGCATCTCCACAGTCAAGAGAGCCAATCAGAACACAGTTCCATCTGCACACATTCCATCCCCACTGCCAATTTGTGTGTAGCAGCATATATTCATGCAATCAACATACACCCCCAGGTTTGGTTCTGATCATGGTCACTGGTAGCATCATATCCTCATAATTACAGGGTCAAAAGTTCCTGAACCCTACTTCAAACACAAGACTACATGTGCCAACTCAGTTAAATATTAGCCAACTCAGACAACCACAAACAACTAGCGATTTCTACATGCTCTGAAAATTCCACAGATGTATATAAATTTAAAGATTTAAAAAAAAAACTAATTCAGTTCAGTTCAAGTTTATTGTATTAGATAAACGGCGTCACAATTGTTTAAAATACAGATATGGTCAAATAAAATCAAGATAAAGACATATAAAATAATAAGAGACCCTTCATATCTGGGAATCTCCCACATAACTGATCGCAATGGCTTTCAGAAAATTATCTTGAATATTTCTGGCCGCTTTTGCGAATAATTATGGCTCCATGAGTTATCAATACTATGGCAAGTAAAAGACAGTGAAAATTCTAAAGTAACTCATCTCATTTTTTGAGGAGTGAACTTCCAAGTTCTTACCTGTGTACTTTCTGCTGCCCAATCACTGCTGCAATTTTTAAAAACAATCCTGACTTTATTCATTATTTTCAATGGGCAACTTTTACTTCCACAAAAATGAATAATATGTATATTAAGTAAAGCTGTTCTTGCAGTACAGTGGTGCCTCGCACAACGGGTGCCTCACACAACGATGAATTCACACAACGATGCCTTTTTCTGTTAAATTTGCCGCCTCACACAGCGATGTTTCCTATGGGGGATTTTCACACAACGATCTCCCTTTTCGCTCCTGTAAAAGTGTCTTACAATGTTTGGAAGCTGTTTTAAATGCTTGCAATGGTTAGCCCACCTCCTGAATGCAAACTGATTTTGGTGTTGTTCTGACACTTCGTTAATTTATGATGATTTTTTGTTTTCTCCATTGGAAACCATTAGACAGACCATCCAATGGTTTTCAATGGAGAAAACAAAAAATTACCATAAATTAACGAAGTGTCAGAACAACACCAAAATCAGTTTGCTTAGGTTTCAGGAGGTGGGCTAACCATTGCAATCATTTAAAACAGCTTCCAAACATTGTAAGACACTTTTACAGGAGCGAAAAAGGACTTCGCAAAGCCATTGAAATGTATTGAGTCGGCTTCAATACATTCCAATGAAGGAAACATTGTTTCACACAGCGATGTTTCCTATGGGGATTTTCACTCAGCGATGGCAATCTGTTCCAATTGGAACGGATTAACCGGTTTTCAATGCATTCCTATGGGAAATGGTGTTTCACAGAACGATGTTTCACACAACGTTGATTTTTTTGGAACCAATTAACATCGTTGTGTGAGGCACCACTGTATTTTACTATATGTGACCTACATGTTTATATAATTACCTAGGGCAGATGTCCCCACCACCCTGGTATGCGGCCTATCCAGAACTGGGCCATGGACACAGATCTCCCCTCCTGCAAGCGCCATTGCGTGCATGCGTGCAAGCATGTTCAGCCCCCGCGCTCACACTGCGAGTGCCCCTGTGCACATGCGCATTAGCACATTCTGCCCGTGAGTGCACTTGTGCAAGAGCAAGGGCCCTGAGCGTGACGTGTGCATGCATGCAAGCGAGCTCCGCCTCCCTGCTGGTGCACCACGCCCCCCAACCAGTCCACGGTTGGGAAAGGTTTGGGGACCACTGATGTAGGGCTTATAACAGATTTCTTTATTGCACAAAATGCTTTAAAATAAGAATGCTTACATAGTAAAATAATAGCTCAATGTTAGTAGTTTAATGGTAGAGAAAGCATCAAAACTGTGGAATTTTTCTGACACAGCATATACATCTCTAAGAAATAACCAACAAGAAAGTTAAAGGTTAAATTTGAATTTCAAGATGCAATATAGAACAGACACATATAAATATAATTCAAAGGAAGACTTTTAACCTTAAATGTCTAGAAGACTGTCAGTTTTTGATACTCCTCCTCCTTGGGGCAAGTACCTCCTGTCTTTCAAAACTGACACATGAATAGTGGCTGGCATGCCTTGCTGACTGCCACAAACTTTATTGTCTCACTCCTCTAGTGACACATTATGACACTGGAGTTTGTTAAAGCTGCCAGCACTTTACCCTTCCCCTTAAACAGTCTGGAAGTACAGTAAATGCAGTAAAACTACAGGACTCTTGCAAGAGAATAGCAACCAACTACCTCAGAGCTCAGGTTAGGAGGCAGGGAGGACAACTGCACCTGCTACATACTTCTACAATAATCATTTAAAATGGTGGATGTTTCATCCTACCTTCATTAGGTGAGTCCTTTTCCATTTACTGTGACAAATGTGCTTATAAACTAGGAAACTCTTGGGCAAAGGAATAAATGCATTTAGGTAATAATAAATAAAAGGGCAGTTATGAATAAGCATATCTCCAGAGATCACTATTGAAACTTCTTTCTTAGACAAATATGCTGAGCAGGGAATGTTACTGAGATCTCACATGAAAAGATGTTTCAGACATTATACATAACATTTGAATCACATATTTCAAAGCCAGCTCCCTTCTACTATACATGATACCATGCATTATAAAAGTGGAGTTCTAGCTGACTAGAGAAGGGGTCTGTACTGGGTCTCTTAACATATCAATCTTCCTCTTGAATAAACACAATTACTCTTGAGAAGGAAACTTGAGAGCAATACCATCAGGGGGATAGGCTCCCCTAGACTCCTAACAGGACTATTCAAAGCAGGATGGCCAACGTTGGGACACCACACCACAGTGCATCTGTCTCTTTCAAACAACTGCATCAACAAAAGAGAACTGGTAGTTTCAATGGTGATGAGGTGCAGAAATTCCTAAGGGACAGTTACTGGGCAGCAGAAGTACTGAAAAGTTAAATTGCCAGAGGATCACAGTGACGACACTCACGCAACTTCTGAATGCTTTATATTGTAAAAACCCTATGAGATAATCCAAAATATAGAAAGAGCTAATACTAAAAGATGAGACTCCCAGATCAGAATGCAGTCAGTCACCTATTGGATAACAGGTAGGAATAAATACAAGCAGCTCTGTTCTGATCTGAATGAGGTAGTTGGACTGAAGCCAAAAGGGTGTTCAACTGTTGTGCTGATGCAAAAAGGTCAACAGGTATACAACATACATGATTGGAATTTAAAATGTTACATTCCCGTGTGGATCAAGGGAATGTCAAAATTGTAAAACAAGAAAAGTGAACTAAAATAGGAAATTTTCAATCAGATAATTAGATTATTTTATTCTGGAAATCACCAGTTCAGAAGAAATAGGGTGGCTCTAA